GCTGGGTTCCAGCTGGGTTCACCTGGCCACAGCTCCCGCTGAGCAGGGGCCCAGACCTGCCGGGTTGCAGCGCGCAGCGGCTGCTTCCCCGCGGAGGGGCTCCGTGCCCGCGGAGGGGCTCCGTGCCCGCGGAGGGGCTCCGTGCCCGCGCAGCGGTGCCCGTGGGCAGCTCGGGGTGTGCCGAGGAGGCACTTGCTGTCTGGCACGGCGGGGATGGTTTCAGTGAAACTCCGGTGATCGGTGCCCAGCTGGCATCCCGCCGGGCGCTGGGCTGGCTGGAGGGCCGTGCGGGGATAGTCGGCACCGCCGTGCTCCTGCTGCCAGGGCAGCGCACGGAGCTGTGGGTGCGGATTTCTCTTGGCGGGTGGGCTCTGGGCTGTGTCCTGTGCTGTTACCAGGAGGAGCTGCGGTAAAACATCGCTGTGCACATCGCACACGCTGCGACAGGGGCCGTCTTTAACTGTGGGAGTGTTCTGCACACCAGCTCCAGACCAAACAGGGCGCAGCCGCCTCCTCCGCTCATGCAGGGATGTTGGGAGGAAGAATCTCATCAGGTGTACTGCATCCAGACACCTCACAGGCGTTCGATTACAGTAGTAGCTGCTTCGTTCAGTGCCCAGAGGGATAAAATAACTAAGGGGATACTGCTCTTTTTTTTAAACGCTGTTTCTCTTTTATTAGAGTCTTTGTTCCAAGCACAGTCCAAGCCGCCTTTGAAATCAGCAATGTAACTGCATCCTCATGGACGGCACCATTTCTTTTCTGTTTCATGGTCTCGTTCCGTTTCTCCCTTCCCGAAGGCGAGAGGCTCGGGGCGCTGGCAGCGCTGCGGTCTGACGGAGGCCGGGCGGCGAGCCTGCGGTGTCAGTCCCTCGCAGGGGCACGCGGTGAATCGCTGGTGCTGCCAAGAATAGCGCCCCGGCTCTCTTGGCTCTCCCGAGCCCACCCTCAGCACTCCAGCCTCCTCTCCTTGATCAGCATGATCTGATTCATAATGCAGCAGCTCTGCTGTGAGGCTGGCTACCTCTGTGATCCTGCTGCGGCTACAGAGGAAAGCAGCCAGGCTCAGGCGGCAACAGAGACTGCACATGCCTGTTAGCAAAAAGTCTAAATCCCAGAAATGGTATTTAGCAGCTTATCTTATCTACAGATAAGCTCATAAAATGTACTGACTGGTTAAAAATAGGTTTTAAAGTTTTTGGCAAACATCTTGGGCTTTTTATTCTTTGTTTTTTGCTGCAGTACAAAAATACCATTTCTATTATTCCTATTAGCTTTTTCTGGACTTTTTGGAAAAGGACCAAATTATTGATGGGTGGTTTTAGCTTTTAATTGTGCCTCATGTGCTAAACTTATTCCTGCTATTTGTTTGCAATATGTTTAGGCTATGTTTAGGCAAATGCAAATGTAAGTGGTTATTCAGTGCCTTTGGCACTCTGAACAGAATGTACTGAGCTCCTGGGGCTTGGTACAAAGCCTCAGCCTCCAGCACTAACAAAGCCTGTGCAGGCAGCAGCTAAAATAGGAGAACTACCTAAGCTTGACAGAGGGGGTTCGGAAGATCTGGGAAGACCATGAATCATGTGCCTAGCTTTTGTTCTATGGACTGGGTAAAGGAAATAAGGGCATTTTTGCCCATGTGCTGTTAGCTGAGGGTGCTCTGGAGGTCTGGGCACGATCAGACTGTACTGCTGGAGCCTGTGCAAGGTACAGTTCAGCAGCAAGGTTGCTCTGGATGTACTGGCAGTCCGTGTGCTCCTGAAGCATAATGGAGGCTTTCCTTGGCCAAACGCCACAGTGCTGGGAGCGCAGCGAGCCAGCACGCTGCCGCTGCCTGCTGCGCGGTCACTGGCAGCAGCTCGGCATTTCTACACTTGTTTGCCTGTTACCCAATCTATTTCAAGCTGTGATGGAATAAGGATGGCATTTGATTGCAGTACTGTGCACAACTGCTTGGCTTTTATAACCCGTGTTTTAAATGGGAGGTTTTTCTATGTGTGCTTTGTCTTCAAATAACTTCAGACTCGTAGGTTTAGGCTTGGTGCTCTCTGCTGGCCTTTGCTGTGGCCTGATGAGATAACTTACGGCTCTTGCTCCAGAGGGTGCTGGGTTACTGAGGTGAGAAGCCCTCCAAGGAAGAGGGTAGTGATGACTGTGGGGCACATAGACCAGAGCCTGCATCCTGGGTGTAGGTCTCGTGATGGAAGTAAGGATGTCTTTGTAACTCTATTTTTTTGTTGGGCTTTATTTATCATCTCTACAGTGTGTCTGTGTCTCCTGATCTTATGATCTAGAGGTGGCATACTTTGTAAAGACCAGATACTGTAAAGTATCTGGTGCTACAGGATAAATCTCTCCTGACATGGCAATGATCAGCTGATAATACTGGGTCTAAGACTGTTTCCCTGTGTTCATGTGCCTCTAACAGTGGAATGAGTGGCCTCCATTTACCACATAACACCTAAAACTGGTGCTTGGCCCCAGAGTTTTCAGTGGGTTAGGTACATTGGTGGTTATAGTTTCATGTCACTTGTTTCGGTGAGTGCAGCCAGGAGATGGATGTTTGCCATCTGGGAGGAAAACCAGGACTGGCATAGCAGGTAGTCAGTCAGTCACAAGAAAAGGTAAAAAAAGCACTTAGTGGAGAGAGAGATGAAGCACAGAGAGGCAGAGAGGCAGGGATCAGTCGTAGATGTCTTTTGTCTCCTTACATCATAACTTGAGAAACTCTAGAAAGCAAATGACCAAAGATGCTGCTCTAGGCTGTCTTTGGGTGAAAAAGAAAACCATGGGACATCTCTGCTTTATTCTGAGTGTTTTTCAAGGCCGATGTTAATAACTGATATTCATAAAACAAATATGCATTGGTTGTCATTTGAAATTAGATTTCTGCCCATATATTCTTTTGCTTTCCTGTTTTGATGGCCAAGTTTTTTAGAAAAAAACTTCTGATTTTATATTTCCAAGCTGCACATACAAATACTAGATTTGGGGCAACTGTGTACCTCATTGATGCACACAAATATCTGATACCCATGACACCCTAGGACTGGAACCCTCTCCCAGCCTTGAAAGCCAGAGCCCAGGGGCTGCTGAGCCATTGTGCAGGCTGGTGCTGCATGCATGAGAGACAATCACCTTCTGCACAAAGTGAAATTTCAGCTGATGAAACCTCCACCTGTGTATACTGTAGCTTAGAGGGAAATCTGGAATGGCTGGTATGTTAGAATGAACTGAAGTTTGTGCTGTTGAGGCCCCAGGGATGGCTCATTACTGCAACTACTATTTCCCCAGAAAACCTTCCCTTGAAGTAAAGAGGCAAATTGTAGCAATTTGGCCCAATGCAAGTACATGATGCCCCAAAATCTAAATGTGCAGTCACTAAAGAAAAGGCTGCTTTAGTCAGCTTTCAGTGAGAATTATACAAAGAATCTGATCCTTTAAAAAATCTAGCTAATTCATTGTCTAATTTTAGAGTACAGCTCCTCTACTACAGATACTATCTGAGGGACGGCTCCAAACCATTGAAGCCAAGGCTAGCATCCTATCTTATCCTGGTTTTACTAAATCAGATTTAGGGCCAATAATATTCTTACACATACTTTATTGTTGTGTCCTTTCTGTTGATTTTAGGGTTATGAACCTTTCTGCAGCAAGATTTGAAGCAGCCAGATTCCAGTTTAAATCCAAGTCCCTAGGACTCACTCGTGATTTCCGGTAAGGCTTCTTTATGGTATTCCTGATTCACATGTGAAGTCATAAGGTTTTATTGTGTTTGAAATGCCATAGGAATTTATTGCTGACCTTTCAAAAACTTGTTACATTTCAGTGTCTTTTGCTTGTGATTTTCAAAACAATCTGTGTTCTGTAAAAGCAATTCTTCACAAAGCTTTGGATGTGTTTTCCAGCACTTCCTGAGGGTATCCCTGATCCAAGCTCTGCTTTGGTGTGAATGCATGAGAAGCTGAGAGACTGATTGCTTACTGCAGCCCACCTCCATTTTTCCTCTTGTGTTAAGGGCCATAAAGCAGAAAAGTAATTGAAAAATGGGAGCTGAAGACAGTGCTGTGTATGTTCCTGTGAAAGCTCGTTGCCCTTCTTATTCCTTGCCTCTTTACTCAGTTGTTATGTATTTGGATTGAAAGTGGAGGATTTTTGTCTACCTGAGGCAGGCTGGCTGCCAGCTGGTGGCCGCCAGTGGCCCAAGGGCTCCTGGCCATGGGCAGGCCATTTGTCCTGTGGTACTTGGAGCAGCTGGCTCTGGATGATCAGCTTGCTTTACTTAGAAGGCTGATACATCCATGGGCTGTGACATGATAAACTGAGCAGCTGATTGTTTTGGAGCCAGCAAAGCACAACAGACACAATTGAGTTTGTTGCATTTTGAGCCTGTAGAAGGCAAAAGTAGCACTCTGGCATTCTTTATTTGTGTGGTCCCAAGATGGAGTATGGTGAGTTGCAAAGCGTGGCGGGAGCAGACAATGCTTGTGCTGATAGCAGAGGTTGAAGTGTCTCCTGTCATGTAAAAGATGAACAAGCCAGTTCCACATCAGCTTTCTTTTCTGAGACTTGTGAGTACTGTCAGTGTTGCTGCTATTTCAATACATGAGGTGCTGCCCTGTGTGGGATTCACACCATTGCTGTGCAGGGTCCAGTGTCACCTTCCCAGAAATGGATGAAGGGATAAGAGTGCATGAGCCTCCCAGTGCTCTCTCCTCCTGTCTCCTGCCCTTCACAATGTGCTGTGTTAGGAACTGCTTGAGCTACAGCAGGGGCAGGAGAGACCAAGGTGACAGCAAAAGAGGAGAGCATAAAGGGACCAAGAGAGAGGAGATGCACGAGCCACAGGTAGAGAAGGCCAGGATGCCATCCTTTATTTGGCCATGGTCAGCCTGTGCTGAGGAAAGAGCAGGCCTCCAGAGGTGTTCCCTGTTATGCCTGGCCACAGTAACCCATAGTTTGAGCAAGGAAAAAGCCATCCCTTCCTCTGATGGGTGGAAGAACCTGTCCAGTTCTGAAGATATCCATCCCAGGTGTGTCCCCTGTAGTCAGTGCTGCAGGAGTCAAACTCCTGCTCTGGCAAGCTTAAAGGAGTGTTATCAAAAAGGTCAACAACAAGCTCACCTAATGCAGCTCTGGGCTTTTGGAAGCTCATGCTCCCAATCAGACATGATGTAAAAGCCTTATTCTACAGGCAGATGATGCAGTTCCAGTAAGTGAAGTCTCTGAAGGGATGGAATTGTTGGCTAAATTCTACTGCTGGAGGCCTTGCACACATGGAAGACACCAGCTATATTTGCTGGGAAAACCAATAGGTGCAGGACCATCCCTCTGACCAGGAAGCACTGAACATTAAATAGAAGAACCTGCAGATTCTTTCTGAGTTTTTATTTTCTTGCTACAATTGCAGGCAAAGAGAACTAGATTTTTCTGGAGCATACACCTACAGTGGAGAGCCCTGCGTCCATTTGTCATTGCTATGAACAATTAATATCAGGGTTGACTGAACAGCAGTTTGTGTGGATGCACCAGGTGTTTTATGCACAAACTTGGAGAACAAGATAGTGATTGAGCCTAAGACATTTTTTTTTCACAGGTGTTCTGAACAGGGCAGCTGGGACAGAAATCTACTTTGGTGAATCTGAGACACCTGGGTCTCTTTTATTGTCAAAGAGGGAATATGGCCTAATTAACCATGCTGTTGTCATTGTCAACACCCATGGTACATCTCCTGAGCCAACAAATAGCCCTTGCAGTGGATGTCAGTGGCTACAGAACTGGACTGCTGAGAAACTTCTTGGAGTTTCCTTTCCTTTTGCTTCCGTGGGAGCAAGATCTTCTCAAACCACCCTTAGCTAGCATGAACTGCTCTTCTCTAGAGTGGTGGATCCTTAACAGGCATGGTTGGTCTGTTCCCACTTCGTTTCAGCTGTGCTATCCAGCTTATCCAGTGATACAGCTTTCTACAGCTTGGTACCTCTCAAGTACGAGGTAGGTGCTTCAGGAAGAGAAGCAGTGATTCAGTGCTAAATCTGCCCATTCTTTATACTCAGGCTTGTTCCTGTGTGTGTTTGGACAGTCATGCATATTTCCTCTCCAACATTTTACATCCCTCTTCTCTTTAGTGCTTTATCTCCCTTCTGCTCTTCAGTGCTCGTTATCTCTTGTCAGCTCTCTGCTCCAGAGAGGGCACTGTTTGAGGGCAGTGCTGTGGATCAGCCTCATCTGGCATCTCCAGGAGCGCTGTGCATGTGGTGGTGGATGTTTCATGAGAGTCTGCCTCTCCTCCCACAGCTCTACCATACATCTATGTTCTTGCTGCTGCCCCCTGTAGCACATTCCATGTGCTTTGGTCTTCCCATCCCTGCCTGGGCTCTCTTCTGCAGGGAGCTGCTGGTGAGTAACCTGCATCCACTGTCCTGATTTTGTTTTCTCTGCCATTCATTGATGGGTGAATACCTTGTGCAAGTTCCATACCCACATGTCTGGAAATTGTTCTCTGTGTCTGGTTGTGAGTGAGATCTGCATTTTTGGTTCATCTTCCATTTCCTGGCTCTGATTCTCCTCCCATTCCTGAGCAGCATACATGGCTCTGCTGCACACATGAAAATTGTGCTGGGGCCAGGCTAGAGTGAGCCAGGAACATCCAGCCCCCAAGTGCTTTACACTCCTCACAGGGACCTGAAGGAAAGTGGCTGGTGTCCTGCATGTGCAAATGCAGGTGAGTGACAAATGAGCCTGTTGCCCATTTTTTGGTGAAGTGAGTAAAGCAGGTATATGCAGACAGGCCGGGTTCTACTGAGGGACCCTCCTTTGTGCATGTAGCTGCTCCAGTTTGTCCGCAGTGCCACATTACTGCCTGTGGGCCTCTGCCCTCATCCTGTAGTGAGAGAAGATGAGCAGCTGGCAGGAAGGTAGCAAGAATGTGCTACTTAAACATAGGTTGCTAATGGCTGTGTTCCCAGTCTCCAGATGTGTGGCTGCTCTGGGATGCTGGGGCCTCCCTCTGTGCTGTGGCAGACAATTCCATTATTAGCTGAGTGGCAGCTTTCCATATGCCAACACTCATGACTGCAGGACTGTTTAATTTTCACTACTCTGAAGTATTTAATTTGTCAGTTGTTAGCTTCTGCTTTGTAAAGATCAAATGCCAGTGTCCTTACCTAGATTTTTACTCAGTTAGAGGTGGAGCATGGATCCTGTATGAACAGACCATCAGACCTAGTCAGGGTAAGGGGCAGGATCAGAGGCAGCATAAGGTCTTGAATTCAGAAAATTAGTCACTTCTAGGCTAATAAGTAGAAACCCCTTGTATTCAAGGATGGGTGTCTAATCCTCATTCTTCTGTTAATTTTTATTTGGAGAAATGAAAAATCAGTACTGCTAAAACTACTGCCCACTCACATTTTGAAGCTGGACTGTGCAGATGAGGTGTGCCTGACTAAAGATTTTGGCCCCTCTCTAGTGTGGAGAGCTGCTGCTGTGAGCAGATCATCCTGCAATTCACTGCTGGGGGCCTCTCTTTAATTATTGAGTGCCAGAATAGATGTATATTGAGTTACCTTGCTGGCAAATATAATCTCCAGCATCTTGTGTAACTGCAATATTCTCAGTTTTCCTACCTGCATAACATGGTCTTCTTCAAAGAATCTAAAAGAAGACAAAATATGGTTTTATATATTGCTTGTCTAGTAGTACATGTTTCCAGAGAACAACAGGTTATACTCTGGCTTTGAGGATAGCCTTCCCTGGCAGCATAGATTGCTCTTATATACAGTCAAGCCTGCACTTGGATGTGCAGTAGAATGAAGCAGGATGTGCATGGTGCACTTTTAAACCAACCAACCAAACCAAAAAACCAACCTCCAAAAAATTCAGAAAAAAGAGAGAGCAGCCTAAGCCAGCACAGCTTTATGAGAGGAAAGTCCTGCTTATCAAACCTGATTTCCTTTTATGACAAAGTAACCACCCTAGCTGATCAAGGAGAACTGCTTGATGTAATCTTTTGAGATTTCAGTAAAGCTGTCAATACTGTCTCTCATAATATCCTTCTGGACAATCTGTCCATCTCACAGCTGGATAAACTTGTCATGGGATGGGTGAGCAGCTGGCTCCCGTGTCAGATGCAAAGGGTGGCATGAGTCTGGCACCAGTCACTCAGTGGAGTGCAGGGCTCCACCCTTGGTCCTGTGTTCTTCAGCATCTTCATAAATTACTTGGATGCAGGACTGGGTGGGATACTAAGCAAGTTTGCAGATTATACAAAACTGAAAGGAGTTGTTGACTTCCTGGAAGTCAGGGAGGCCTGCAGAGAGACCTCAACAAAATAAAGGACTAGGCAATCACCAAGCTCGTGAAATTCAACGAGGGCCACTGCTGGATTCTGCACCTGGAATGGGGCAAGCCTGGGTCTACAGACTGACTGGGGAATGAGATGCTGGAAAGCAGTGCCTGGAAAGGGTCCTGGAGCCCTTGTTAACAGAAGGTTGAACATGAGTCAGCAGTGCCCTGGCAGCCAGGAGGGCCAACCATGTCTGGGGGGCATCAGGCACAGCGTTGCCAGCCGGGCAAGGGAAGGGATTGTCCCGCTCTGCTCTGCACTGGGGCGGCCTCACCTCGAGCCCTGGCAACAGTCTTGGCCACCACAATATGCGAAATGCATTAAGCTGTTAGAGAGTGTCAGAAGGAGGGCAATGGAGATGTGAAGGGCTTTGCGGGGAAGCCAGATGAGGAGAGACTGAGGGTTAAGCCTGGAGAAGAGGAGACTGAAGGAGACCTCATCACAGTCTACAGCTTTCGCATGAGGAGAGGAGGAGGACAGAAGGTGATCTCTTCTCTGTGGTGAGCAGTGGCAGGGCCTGAAGGAATGGCCTGAAGTTGTCAGAGGAGATTTAGGTTGGATATTAAAAGAAGTGTGTGGTCAGGCATTGGAACAGGCTTCCCAGAGAAGTGGTCACAGTGGTCAAGCCTGACGGAGTTCAAGGAGCATTTGGACAATACCTTCAGGAACATTGTGTGACTGCAAGACCAGAGTTGGACTCCATGGTCCTTGTGGGTCCCTTCCAACTCAGCATATTCTGTGATTCTGTGGATTTTGCTCTCACTGCTCTGAAATACTCAATCTGTGAGCTGTTGCTGTAGAATACCTGGCTGACATGTCTTGATGGAACTGCAGTGGAAGTTCTAGCCAAATGGTGCACGACTCCAGAGGCTGCCTGCATCTGTGCTGGCTGTACTGGTGTCACTTGCAGGAGCACTTGGAGGTGGAGGTGGGGAGAGAAAATCAACATACGCATTTATAATTTTTCCCATCTTGCAGAGATGCAATGGCCACCAGTGTTCCCTGATCTCTTCTCTGTCCTGCTGTCACACACAAGCTGCAGGCATCAGAGCTGCGAGCTGTGGTTGAGGAATTAGCCATGAATCCTCTGGATAAGAAGTCTCCAGTGCTCACAGCCATGATACAAATATTACATATGTTCTTTCTAAGTATGGCAAGCAAACCTTGCCATTCCTTATTTTGCAAAAGAAATAAAACTGGTGAATTCCATGTAATCCTGATAACAGTTAACAAAAGAAAGAAACATTACCCAACGCCTCAATGGAAGAAAAGGCAGCATTGTGGTTAGTAGAATACTTTTGTTAGTCACAAGTCTCAGAGAATTTCGTGAGTCAGGCAGGAGCAGTGAGCCCGAGCTCCCTCCTGTGTGACCCCGCGTTTGTCCCTGCAGCAGCGCTGGCAGGTCCTGGCAGGGTGACGGCAGCGGGGATCTCGGCGCTGCGTCCTGGCGAGAGCAGGGGAGCCGGGCTCCATCTACCGCTGTGCCGGCAGAAGGCAAAGCCAGCCAGGACGGCATTCCTCCGCACGGGAAAGCCACGGCGCACGGTGAGCTAATGCTTTTCTTTTTCTCTTTTTTCTCTGGCTTCTTTTTTTCTTTTCCCGTGCGGCTCCCAGAGCCCTTCACTTCCAGTCCAGTTCCCTGACTGGGACATTGTGCAGGTCTGTAGCTGGGGACAGTCCCCACTTGTTCATCATGTCATGTGAGGCTGGAGAAAACAGCAAGGAAACAAAGTGACTTGAGCACTTGACTGTGCTTCTTCTGAGACGAGCCCTGATTTCCAGTCTGTTCATCTGACAGGATGGGGATCATGCTCCAAAACATGGTGAATACAGAGGGCTGCAGGAGCAAGAACAGGGTCAGGATAGTGCATCGTTCTGTGGCTTCTTCCTTGTTCTGCCAGTGCTCTGCCTCTGAACCTCCTGTTCTTGTAAAGTCAGGGACAGGTTTCTTTACTTACCTATACCCAGGCTTTTATATGAGAATAGAGAATGAGAATTTATGAGAATGGAGTTCTGCATGAGCCATAGGTCCTCTCTGCCAAGCTTGGGGATGCAGTGAGAGGTGTGAGTCCTGAACTCAAGCCTGTATGCAAGTTCTGCAGGCAAAGTTCTTTCTCAATACTTTCAGCTAAAATCCTACTCTTTGCCTTGCAGATTGTAGCTGAATAGTGTGCCAGGCTGCTGTGGCTGCCCATCCCTGGAAATTGAATATTTCCCCCTGTCCTTGATATTTGCAATCACCTGAGTTAACCCCACTGTGCTGGGTGAGATACTCTTTTATATAGCTGGTACTGCCCAGTTTGAATAACTCCTGAAGGATAATGTGTGCAGCATCGTTCTAGAATAAAAGCCAGATTTTAGTATTTAGAATACTAGGAAAAGGTGCTAATTTCTCTTTGCAAGTGGTACTGAGAACCCATTGTTATTCAGTACTCACAGGGAACATGAGGAGTGTCTGGATTCTTAGTCTTCCACAAAAAAAGCTTAACTGATAGTTCTGCACTGATGGCAGGAAGAGTTTGAGCTTACATTATTTGACTGGGAGAGCTTGTCTCAAGTTATGAGAACAGATGTTTCAGATTTGAATTCAGCCGGCAGAAAAGGGAGATCAGTCTAGTCCCCTGCATTTCCCATTTTTGCTTTTGTTTTTTTTTTTCCTTTTAACTGGATTTTTCTTTACTGTGAAACCAAAATGCAAACTCCTGGAAAGGAGGAGAGATTCACTTTCATCCAACCCACTACCTAAAGCTTTTCACCTGTTTGCTCAGCTGCCTTTTATTTGTCAGCATTTGCTTGTGTGGAGCTGCAATTATCTCTGAAAAACATGACAAACAGTTAAACACCCAAAAACCTCCCTCTCAGAAGACATGGTCTGCTTTCCACATTTTGGTGCATTACACAGCCAGGCAGAATGAACTCACATGTTTGGGTTCAGCCAGTGACCCTGCTGGTGGAGCTGCTGACTAAACGTAGCCTCAACAGCATCTCAGAGGCCGTGAAATCTTTGGGGCTGGAGGAAGTGGAGCTGGAGCTGAACACCTGTATGTCCTCCTTGGAGCTACCACAGCCAGTGCAGCAGAGCTGTCCCCACGCTCAGGACAGCCTGGCCTCGGGTGGGAGCTCTCATGGCAGCATGGGAGCACAGGAGGAGTTGGTTGATTGTAGTCCCTTGTTTACAGGGTAGCAGAGTCAGGCTGTAGGCACAGTGCAGACCCTGGAAGTTTGCTTAGGCCCTCAGCTTCCTGGGGATTTCAGTGCTGTGTGATGTTGGAAGAAGTAGCTCACCCTTTCCTTGGTCACCCCTTTTTCCCACAAAGCATCTGCTGAATTCTGCCAAATTAATAATTTATTCAGCTTTCTCACACTGCAGCCTGTGGTAATGCATCCCATTAACAGCAGCAGGTTTGAGTAAGGCTGGGAGTTCCCCAGGTCCCCAGAGAAGACTGGAATTGTCCCGGTTGCCTGGGGAGAGCGTGAGCATGGTGGGAGATGGGGATCTGCAGGGCACAGCAAGCGGTCTGAAGTGGCATCTAAAATAGCTGAACCGTGACATTTTCTCTTGACAGAAGTGGTGAAAGGCCACAGATGCTTCCTTTCTGTGACTCAGAAACTTGCAAATCTTCTTTGATTCGCACCTTATAAGTAAAATTAGCCTGTGCCTCACTGCTGCCAAACTCTTTCAAAGCAAAGATACTTGTACAAAGGAATTCAGTAACAGAAATGCAATTCACTCATTTCACTCATGGATCAGATTATTGTTATTTCTGACTGGAAGTGGTACCAAAAATGCTTGCAGGGATTTCCACTTTGCCTTTGAAAAGATGTGCATATTGTTGGTAGAAAAATATCTGCTTGGGAGGATAGGTAACATACGTTAGGGGACAGGGAGGGGAATGGGCCCCACAAGGCTGCTGCAGTGATGAGTACAAGAGTTCAGCTTTGGCTGTAATGCTCAGTCACTTTGAAACAGGGATCTTCAGCTGTTCTTATGGGGAATGTTGTGATGTGAGCTGCAGTTGCTGCTGCTCAGGAGGACATTTCCAGCCCTGGGTCTGAGCTTTCACACAGCACATGGGCCTTATGCTGCTTATGCCTTGTCATCCCAGGGAGCTGTCAGACATGTTCCTTGCATGTGGGGATTCTCCAGGTGAGACTTAATGGAGGGAAGCATTTTGTTGATTCTTAAGGCAGCGATTGTTTGTGACACTGAGGAATGTGATGCTACCTTGCAATATGAACTCACCATCAGCTGGGAGCATCAGTCAATAAAAGATCTGGCACTTAAAATCCATGCTGTTCACAGTCTGTATTTTGCAGCCAGTTGTTAATGAAGCCCTCAGCTCCTGTGACGATGCTCCTGGGGATGGCATCTGCAGAGGGGGACATGGAGGCCACAGAGAGGGGCTCCAGCCCCCTGCCCCTCTGCCCATGGACAGCAACAGTGGAACACTGTGGTCCCCTCAAAGCCAGCACAGAGCAGACATCTCCAACAGGGCTAACTGCCTGGGACAGCCAGAGACAGCCGTGAGCTATGGACTGGTAATGCAGAAACTTGTTTGCTCATAGTCTTTGGGCTTAGTTTTAGAGCTAAGCCAAGAGTGCTCTGATTGTAGCCTGAAATACTGATATAAATGGTGGAAAGAATGGATGTCTGTACTATATACACATGCAGACATTTTCAAGAGTTTTAAACCAAATGAGTACAAAAGCGATTTATTTAAGAAAAAGTTAGGCACGTTGCACTGGAAATAGGACTGGTTATACTACTCTACCCCAAAGTAATATATTTGATATCTTTGGGCGTCAAGTGAAGCCTTTCTAAACAGTGACATGTTTTTGTGGCCATCTTGGCCAGGTTTGTTCTTTCTGCTTGATGAACTATGCACAGAGAAGTGGATCTCCAAGGAGTGAATTTTTTTGCTCTTTGGAAATGTGTGTGGAAGGGACAGCAGCATATGGACTTGGCATGCCCCAGGCATGGCTGCGGGAGCCTAAGAACATTTCGTGCCTGCAGCAAGTGTAGGAGAAGGGAGGAGGAGCGTGGAGCAAGCGACTGCAGTGAGCTGTGTGGTGATGGCAGTGAGTTACCCTCTGTGAGCAGGAGCAGCAGGGGGTCCAGCCCTGACCTAGTCTTCATCACAGCTGAGGTGAGGAGCAGGCCTTGTACCATGTCCCTTCCTTGCCTCATGGGTCACAGCAGAACTGGGAGATTCTCATGAAGAGCCACAGGCAACATCTAGACCAGAGAGTGCAGATAAAATTGCTGGCCACAGCAAACTCACGCCAGGTGCTGAAGGAAGGGACAGAAGATGGGCTGGCTTTGGAAGCACAGCTTTGTCAGCAGAGCCTTCAGTTGTGAGTGGAGGCAGAAGCATGCTGTGAATTTTCCCAAAGTACCACCATCAGATGCTTTTTATGGATCAGAAACCCCAAATGTCGTACAGAACAATGAACTAAAAATGAGACCATAGAACTCTTGCACAAATTGCAGATGAGCACAGCACAGCCAGACAGGCACACACAGCACACATGCACAGAAAGCCTGAAAGAGGCTGCAGGTGGGCAAATCCTGCACAGCAAGTCTTCAGCACATTGTCTAAGGCAGAGCAATTGCTGCTTGCAGTTGTAATGGCAGTGCATTTGGTCTCTCACTATGGATCTTGGACAGCAACCCATTCAACTTGTAAATAACATCTACAGTTAAATAGGGTGTGTTCTTCTGTGCCCCAAATGTGTGATGCACCCCAGGGAGGTCCAGTGAAAGGTTCACATGCCTTGGTGTTATTGTCCACCTTAACAGAAGATGTTCTAATTCACTTACAAGAAGTACTGATAGGGGCTGGGCCTGTGTCCCACTCTGACATCCTGAGCAGATGCTTTTAGTGCCTCACTTTTTGATGTTGGTATCTCCCTCTTTTGCTTGGAGCAGCAGCAGCAGTGGTCAGGCATCACTGCCAGATGTAGCTGCACGAAGGTCCAGGTGACACAGCGCCATTGCCTCTCACGGTTTCTGTTGGATGGTGTCTTGTGTGTTTTCATGCACTGGTGATGGTTCCCATGCCCTGACAATATCACATCTCATTTTTGTGAAATGATGCTGATTTGCAGATACACAGTCTCTTCCCAGACCTGTGCCTGCCCCAGTAACTGCTGGGAACCCCACAAGCCCTGGCAGAGGTGCCAGGCTACCACAGCGCTTGCTCATGGAGCAAGGAGAAGCATGAATGGGAGCAGATTTTAGGTTTATTTTAGTCAAGAAAATTCAGGGATGTTAAGTACTTAGTTGTCATCAATTTCAGTGACTTTGCAGAACCCAATTAGCCTCTAATTTTAGTTTCATGCAAATGCCATTGTCAGCTCTTTCTGTACCACAGGTGAGGCAGCTTTAGATGTGGCTCCACAGCTGCTTTGTGTGGGTGGCTGCTTCCTAAAACCTGACACCCAGCAGGGAAATTGGGGCATTTGGAAATGCTTTGAAAGGCCCTGGGGTTTTTATGTTTTGTTTTTTTTTTTAATTGCTGTCCCACTGCTGGCACACACATGGCTCATGTGGGTGCCAGCCCTCATGAGGCACAATTTTCCCTTGGCTGACACCCCACCTGGCAAAAGAAAAGGCTCAACATCGTCCTGTTGGGGGTCTGAAGCGGGGAGGCTGCTAATTGCAGGATGCCATAGACATGCACCCTGTACCTGTAAGCAGCAAGGAAGCACTGGAGTGTTCTGTAGGCAGTGGCCACCTGTGGCTTTTTGGGAGACACTAGGAAGGGTGGTCAGCTCTGTGCCACTTGTGCTGGCATGGTCTGAGTCAGCCGGGTGCTCTGAGCTGCAGTAGCACTTAGCTCAGCCTGCCCAGGATTCCTTGGCACTGGCAGCAGTGGGAATTCCAACTGTGGCTGCACTTTGCGGCATTCTTCTGCTTGCAGGTGTTTCTGCACAGCTTTGCTCTCCCCATGTTGTTCCTCATGGATCTTGTACTGGGGTAAAAGTGGTGCCTGATGGAGCAGCCTGGGCTGCCTGGAAACACCTGGGCACAGTTGGGTTTGGAGCACAGTGGGAAGGTTGGTTCTTTTCTGGAGAATACCAAACACAGATGGGAACAAATGGGAGATGAGTGCCAACATCCGTACCAGGAGCTCAGCACTTTTACTCAGTGGAGCCACAGCATGGGAAAAATGTCCATAGGATGTAGAAGTTTATTTAAACATGTATTTAATGTTAATGAGTGGACCCACAACACAAGTTTTCTGACTTGGAAGCCAGTTGCTGACATAGAGCAGCTGAGCTTGATTTGAAGATAATTGTTGTTCTCCGGTGGATTTGCAGGTGCAACACAGTGACATGTTAACTGTTTGAGCTTCCCTGTTGTGCTCTCAGCCATCCTGGAGGATACACAAAGGCTGGAAGATGACTGGTATGCTTCAGAAATCTCCACTGGCTCATGCTGCTTCTGAGACTGTCCAAGCTGATGGTTACACCTCCTTTTGAAGGTTTGAAGGCTTTGTTTTCCAGCAGAAGAGCTTTTCTGGGCATTATTTGTGCTGGACTGACCTTCAGATAAAACTGTTACTAAGACCTGACAACAGAGTAGGTATGACAGCCCTGTCAAGGAATGGATAATCTCCTGTCTTTAAATACACTTTCTATTTATGTTGGCAGTGTACAGGCATCTCAGGATTTTACCTGCTATCCCAGACTTACATTGCAAAAGTGCCACCAAGGAAACTTCTCTGCATATCTGTTTCTATTTCAAAACGTCTTAACTGAATAATGTGAGTTGGCAGATACATCACTGCCTGTTGAAGCTCACGGCTGAAGAATGTTCAAAGGGAAAAGAAAATATCTGGAAAGTATTTTTTTACTATCAAACAGACCTGGAAATTGTATCAACTGAGGGGATATACCAGTCGTTCCTGCAGATTAATTTTCATGGTTAGTCTATTTTTCATGTTTATCAGAATGTTTCAGTTCATACCTCAGACACCTCAATCTCTGCAAGTGTCAGGGTCCCCTGGAGGGCCAGCAGCTCTGTGTGCCCCTAGATCAGCTGGCAGACATCTGTCTTGTGTTAGGAGAAACATGATCTTCACGCTGGCTTGGACCCGTGGAAGGGGGTGGGAACACTATGAAATTGCTGCATAAACCAACACGTAACACAGCATTTCAGAATAAATAAGCAAAATATACAATGAAATAAGTTGCCTGCATTTTCTCAGAAAAAAAAATATAAGCATTTTCAGGAAACAATGGTGCTTTTCCACAGCCTTTTGTAGAAACTGCTGTGGATGCCAGGTCAGTTGTTACCTGTGGGATTGGCTGCTGGGGACTAGGCCACAGAGGGATGGTGGAGACTGCCTTGGTTTTGCCATCTGGCTTCTGGCATTCTCTGACACTGCCAGTGCAATCAACAGGGCTTGGCTGGAGTTAATTGAATTAAATGGGACACTTGCCAGGGACACCAGTTATCTCCTGCAGTCATTAGCACAAGAAGGGTGTAAGGATTAGCTCTTGTTTGCCGTCTCAGGTGTTAGTGGTGATACCAGCTGACATGTTAAGGTCTTGTCAGCAGCAGCATGTTCTGGAAGAGACAGCAGCCTCTTCAGCTGATAATACTTGTATAATTTCTTTTAAATGCAGGTATTCTTCATTGGAGTAATGTTTTTTAGTCCTTGCTTTGAATACTTTAATGAGTTTCATTTCATCTCTCGTTGCAGGGGGTCAGCAAATATGTAAGACAGGTACACTTACCTCTGACTGATGACACTTCCCAAAGACTCGCTCTCCAGCCCTGGGAACCTGCTTCACCAGCCCTGGGAGTATGGCCATGGTGTGGGTGAGTGCTGCAGAGGAGTCACTGGTTCTGGGTGTTGCTGGTATCACATGAACTCTGCAGTGGGAGAGGAAGGACCTGAGCTTTTGATTTCTGAATGATATTGCTCTGATAAATAAAGAAAATATTTAACTACTGCAAGAAAGTGTGGAGATTTGCTCTTTGGCATTCTGGATGAGAACTTTTGGTCCTGAAGGTCTGTACAATGACTAAGAAAGCAGTGGGCACATGCCCATGACTCATCTGCAGTGGTGCCCACGTCCCATGTGCCAATGTCCCAGCCAAAGCAGTGCCTGTGTCCCATCTGTGACAGTGCCCACTTCCCTTGGGCCCACGCTCCCCATGCCCATGTCCCACCCACAAAATGTGGTGCATCCTCTTGCTGGCTCACCTGGAAGTGAAGCACTGCTGCTTTCTGGGGATGGGGAGCACTAATTAACAAGCAGAACTGGTGCTGAAGTGCCTCAAGCCCTGCTGAGCTCAGACATTTCTCCCATCCACAGTGCGTGGCGGGGGGGTTGCAGCTTCTGCAGAGGGGCCTTGGGGGGGTGCCTGGGCAGCAGAGCAGCCATCCCTGACCAGACAGGCTCCAGCCCTTCTGGATGTTTCCACATGAGGCCTCTGGGTGAGTGTTGCCCTGTGCAGGGCTGGCAGGGAGGTTCTGCAGAGCTGCAGGGGCTGGGCCCTCGGTGGGTGAGAACAGCCAGCACAGCAAACCTCGACTTGGCTCATTCTTGCATTCATGCGGCCACAGCTCCTTGCCACAGGCAGGCTCTGTGGTGGCGCTGCCCGTCCACATTCCACACAGCCCCTCTGCACGTCTGGCTGCTGGGAAAGGCCCCATTTTAAACTCTCTTTGGGCGGTCTGAAAAGTTGCTGAACTTTCAAACAAAGTTCTTGTGATTGAATATTTATTGTTAAACTCAGCACGAAATGTAAAACAAAGCCTAAAACTAGGGATGCTTTTGATTTTAGTGTAAATGCTGACAGCATTTTTAATTTATAAAGTATTTTAGTAGTGAATGCTTAAAATATTCTGGCATTTTGTGTCCTCAGCTGCTTTTCTCTCTGCTGTGGTTAGCCCTAGAGTCTGCGTTGGAATGAGTACCATGCTGAGATCAGAGATTCACGACAACCTCAGCCTAGAGTGGTTGAAGACACGTTAGTGTAAGGTTTTCTGGCAGTGCCAGGGGGTTAGAGCTGCTTTATGGCCCCGTTACACGTCAGAAGAGTGGCTGAGGCATTCCTTCGTGCTCACAAGACTGTAACGGGGTCAGCTTTCACCTGGTTGGAGCCTGCCAAGATCACCAATTTGTGTCCATTCTGCCATTGGAAAATTGTTCATTTTCATGGATAAGTCAGAATTAATGTTGTGTGGCAGTGAGAGTGCAGTTCAGTGCAGGGTCAGTGAGGTGCTGACCAGCACTCTGGGGCTACTGGCCATGACCTTGGCACAGACTGCCAGGGCCAGTGCTGGTGCCAAGGCACAGCTGTTAACATCTCCTATACTCTGCAGTAGTATCAAGGAATACAAATATACAGGACTTAGGCAAATCCAAAATTCCACAAAATGCCTTTTGCTCTCTTTAACAGAGTCACATCAATGTTTCTTTCCTGTAAAATATCATGGGACTTTGCTGCTTCCACAGTGAAGTGCATTCCAAACACTAACTGCAATAACTAGTAAAGAATTATGAGGCATGGGAGCAGAGCTGGACTCCTACTCTCCTGCAGCAAAGGTTGCAGCTCTGCAGGTTGGCTCTGGTGCACTTGCACTGCACAACCATCACTTTCTCAAACAGATATGTCACTTATGTTTTCCTTAATGAAAATTTCAGCTATTCCTGCCTCTTCACATGCCTCTCTGCACGTGTCTGACTGTGAGCACTGCCATGTTTGGAGCTGTGTGGTGGCTGTTTTCAGATCCTAGGAATGCAGCCTCAGGAACAGAACCCTGCACAGGCAAACTTGGCAGAACCTGGGCAGTGTCTGGAGCAGCAGTTAGGAATCTGGGACTGGGAGCTGACTGTACTTGCATTCCCAGGAGGACAAATCAGGACCTTGATTGCCAGGTTTGCAACTTTAAAAAAGCCTTTAATGAATGTACACCCTGTGTCATTGTTCTCTTCTCCATTCTGGGTTGTTTTTCAGAAAACAAGATCAGTTTAGGAAATTTAAATATTTTAGAAATTTTATCTAGAGAAGTCTCTCTGTGCTTCCATTCTTAGTATAAACCAAATTTATTTACTTCTGTAGTTGAAATTGTAAACATAAAATTTCTTTAGTGTTGCTTAATATTTTTTGTCTGGTTTTGAATGGAAATTGGGATTATGTGATCATCTTGTGGTTGTAACACTTGTCAGATCATTTAAATTAATGTTTTAGTTTCTTATTTATTATCACAAAGTTTATTGGTTTGTTAGGAATAGTACCCAGATTTATGATGCTGAGAAGGAAAATCTGCAGTGTGAGCCCACCTAGAATCCTTGTCATAGGAGAACTGCACCAGGAGCAACCACGGACAGGCAGGTTCACCAGCACTCCAGTGCTCTGTGTGTTTGTGTGTCTGTTTGTGTGTCTCATGATTTTCAGGTTGTTTTTCATATCTCAATGCAACTGAGAAGTCAGCCTTTTTCAGAAAAGTGTAGAATCTAATGAGCAGTGTGTTTGAAAACCTCAGCTGTTCCCAGGACACAGGTGAATGATGCAAACATGGCACAACAGGTGACACATGGAGATGGGCATCTTGGAAAGAAAACATCAAAGGAACCATACAGTGATGGGAGAGCAATTCACAGGGCCAGGGAGCTGGAGATGTGTGTAAAGCCACCCTGTTCTTCACTCGGTGCCAGCGAGCTTCAGTTCACAAAGAAAGTAGCTGGAAAAATTACCCAGAAATAGATGACCTTTCAAAAGGCCTCTGATATACAATTACCTGATGTTCACTGAAGTGGTTCACGTGCTTCCCACTCTAAATGATTTTCTAGGTTCACCCATGTGTGAAAAGGGGTCTGATTTTATGGAGGAGGGCAATGGAGGAAAGAAACTTCAGACTGGAGAAAAATACGCCAGGGAATTTTACTAGTTGTTTGCTTCAAGGGAAGAAAAGGGCAAATAGATGCAGCCACCTCAACGTCACCTTTTGACTTTGAACTTTAAAAGAAAGGAGCATGGGAGAACGCTCAGGAATTGGCAGCACTTGACAGAAAGTGTTCCATGGAGATAGGTAGGAAATTTAGAATCCAGTGGAATTTGCTTTCTTAGCCAGATGACAAGTTCTTTTTTTCCCTGCAATACAACATAATTATTACAACCCCTGTTTTCCTTGCTGCCTTTTCTTTCCTTCTGCCCTGGGTCATCTGGCACAGGAGATCCTTGCCTGTGCTCATGGCAGGGCTGGCCATGCCCCTCTTCAGAGTTTCAGCTCTGATCCTGGACCAAAACAAGTGAATTATCTGGGGCTGCAATATATAATGAGCTTTAGGTTAAATACTTTTTTAAGGAAATTATTTCTGTGGTTGGCACAAAAGTGCCTCTCCCTTGCACCTTTCCAGTGGCAGCTGTGCCCAGGTGCTCAGAGCAGTCTGGCTTCAATAGCTCAGTGCTCTCTTCACTGCCCTGACCCCCAGCAACAAAGGGGGAAGGGGGCAGAGACCACCCCCCTGTTGGAAAGCAGCATTCAAAAACCCAAAGACTTCTTGAAACCAGGGAATGGCATTTCCACATATGATGAGAGAGCACAGTGGGCTGGAATGAAATGGAAGAAAATTATTTTGTATAACCTTGGAATGTAAACATTTTGATGAACAAAAGCAAGTGACAGTCCCTTCCCCCATCTGCATTATCAGACAAAACAAAATCCCTGAGACAGGTCAGACAGACAAGAGCATCAAAAAAATTGCACTTGTAGCATTGAAGCACTTTTCATTTGGTCAAGTATCTAGGTATCTTTGTGGGGAAAAAAACCCAAAGTTGAGCTTTGGATCCAAAGCATTAGACTTGCAACTCCACTGAATTTTGTGATTTTGGAAATGTTCTATTGTTTTTCAGTACGCGCTCATGAACCTGGAATGAAATTGTCCTTTGGGGACAAAAAAAAAAAAAATAGATGAAAAATAAATGCTCATGTCAGGTCTGGAAACCAAGGGAGTTCTGAGCCATGGTCTTTATTATGTTTATTTTCCATCAAGTTCAGGAGTGGCTTTGAGCAGGATTTGCTGCAGTTGTGGGAGACAGGAAAAAACATATTAAAAATAAAAGAAGAACCCTGAATAAGATTTTTCAAAAAGCCATTTATATCTCCTATAAGACATCCAGATGCAAAATTGAATGGTGAGTCAGGAGTGCACTCAGGCACACAGTTCCAGCAGCAGCTCCCAGGCTCCTCTGACTGGCTCTGCTGGAAGGCAGGTCAGCTTGAGCTCACAGCAGCATCATTGTGGGATGATGTGGAGGTCCTCATGCTCCCGCCTCCTCCTTTTGGAGGCTACACAATGTGCACACGTTGTGTTCCTGAATTCATGCCTCTTCTGGCAATTTGTTTGCCTGATTCTTAAATTTCTGTGTTCATCTCCAGTGCCCAGAGCTCTGCCAAGTCTCCCACAGCTTGCTGAGACCATGGGCAGGTGCCTCAGCTCCCCACAGCGACTGCGCCCATGGCTCTGCTGCCGCTGATCCCGAGGGGCTGAGGAGCTGCCACCAGGGCGTGAGGAGTGCAGCCACACACAGCTGCACTCCCCGTGCTCGGAGGGCAGGGTGCTGACAAGCTAACCATGGCAGAGACTGAAAGATGGAGAATTTCTCCTGGAGCCTGCTTTTAACTCTCCATGGCCCTGCTTGGGAATGGGCTGTAGTCACTACATGCCTTTAGCTTGAACTTGCACTTAATCAGTCTGGGAGGAAGAATGGAAGAAATGTTCTGAGAGAAAATTCCATTTATGTCTTCTGCCACCTGCTAATGGCATATGTGAGCTGCTGCATGCCAGTAGCTGATGGCAAAGATAACATCAGTGTGGAGAAAATTGTGGTGTTGAAAATGAGACTCATGTTCCAGATGACCCGATAGCTCAGCGCCCGCTGGGGCCAGGTGTGGGGCCAACCTCTGCTCACCAGCACTCACACAGACAGTGTGATGGCCTTGC